ACAAGGTACGACACGACAAGGTGTGGCACGACAAGCTACGGTATGACATGACAAGGTACGACACGACAACGTGTGGCACGACAAGCTACGATATGACATGATAAGGTATGACACGACAAGGTACGACATGACAAGGTACGATATGGCACGACACGATAAGGTACGACACGACAAGGTGTGGCACGACAAGGTGTGGAACGACAAGCTACGGTATGACATGACAAGGTACGACACGACAAGGTGCGGAACGACAAGCTACGATATGACATGACAAGGTACGACACGACAAGGTGTGGCACGACAAGCTACAGTATGACATGACAAGGTACGACACGACAAGGTGCGGCACGACAAGCTACGATATGACATGACAAGGTACGACACGACAAGGTGTGGCACGACAAGCTACGGTATGACATGACAAGGTACGACACGACAAAGTGCGGCACGACAAGCTACGATATGACATGACAAGGTACGACACGACAAGGTGTGGCACGACAAGCTACGATATGACAAGGTACGACACGACAAGGTGTGGCATGACAAGATACGGTATGACATGACAAGGTACGACACGACAAGGTGTTGCACGACAAGCTACGCTATGACAAGGTACGACACGACAAGGTGTGGCACAACAAGCTACCATATGACATGACAAGGTACGACACGACAGGGTGTGGCACGACAAGCTACGGTATGACATGACAAGATACGACACGACAAGGTGTGGCACGACAAGCTACGATATGACATGACAAGGTACGACACGACAAGGTTTGGCACGACAAGCTACGGTATGGCATGACAAGGTATGACACGACAAGGTGTGGCACTTCAAGCTACGGTATGACATGACAAGGTACGACACAACAAAGTGTGGCACGACAAGCTACGATATGACAAGGTACGACACGACAAGGTGTGGCACTACAAGCTACGATATGACATGACAAGGTACGACACGACAAGGTGTGGCACGACAAGCTGCGGTATGACATGACAAGGTACGACACGACAAGGTGTGGCACGACAAGCTACGATATGTCATGACAAGTTACGACACGACAAGGTGTGGCACGACAAGCTACGGTATGACATGGCAAGGTATGACACGACAAGGTTTGGCACGACAAGCTACGGTATGACATGACAAGGTACGACACTACAAGGTGTGGCACGACAATCTACGATATGACATGACAAGGTATGACACAAGGTGCGGCACGACAAGCTACGATATGACAAGGTACGGTACGACACGACAGGCTACGGTACGATACGACAAGGTAACACAAACACAAGTTTTTAAGAGTAAAAGTCATTTCATTTCCCTGCCACTGATATTCAAAGAGGTTTTTTTTAAAAAAAAAAAATTGTGTATCAGAGGCACTGACAGCATCAATTTGTTCCTTTCCAATTTTCAATCAGACGTCTGTGGTTCCTGCAATTCCACTAAAACGAAGTATTTTCTGATGTCACCAATCGGACAAATATGCTTTGATACATTAGGACTTTGTGATTAGTGACGTCATAAAACGCTTAGTTTTAGCGGAATTGCAGGAACCACAGACGTCTAATTGAAAATGGAATGATGTAAATTGATGATATCAGTGTTCCCTAATCACCTGAATAATTTAGAAACTTCTTTACAATTCCTTTAAATACTACTCATCATAAACTTGTCGTAATTGTGTTCATGGGATGATGATTGCAAGTGAATGAGATTTTTTTCTAAAATGATAATAAAATATTGATTGATTTCGATATACTACAAACCATTATAATGTTGGGAATCTAGGGATGAAGAAACAATCGGATTCGTGTGTTTCATTTAACCTCTGAGATTTCATTCTGACTGGAGGTTTTAAATTTAAATCAACTGGAAACATAATACTGGATGAAGTGATTTTGCGACAAATTGTTTTTTTTTCGATTCGTCAGATTTGTGGTAACTTTTTTTCTGTATGAATTGATTAATGTGACTATCTAAATTGCTTCTGTTAAAGCCACGTTAAAGTCTGACAAAGATTATGAATACTATAAGTATATTATACTACATGTATAGTCTTATGTATCTCATGAATATTTCAGCAGAACTAAGTGCGTAATTTCAGTCCTTGGTGGAAACTTTTGGATTCAGAAAAAACACCACAAAGTTATCATCTGAATGTTTTATGAAGGTTTAGGTTGGTTTAAAAGGATGGTAAATAGTTATATTGGATAGAGTCAGTCAGTAGACAGTATTTTAGTTTTTCATTGTTTCATTATCTGTATCAGGCAGTAATTGGATGGAATAGAGACCTATTTGAAAGAACTGGTATTTTTTTTATTGTCAAGTAGTGAAGGATGAAAGGTTGAAAGACAAACTTGATGGGTAGACTGAGAGAAGACACTTGATATCTAAAAGAGAAAGAAACGATCAAGTTTCATTATTGATATAAAATTTAAAGTCCCAACACTGTCATAAAACAGAAAACCTGTAATTTATCTCTATTTTTATTCTGTTTTTAAACCTACAGGATTATTCATAAACTAATCAGACATTCCGAATGTCAATTGATTAGATACTTTCATTTATTAGCTGTTATTTGAAGTCTTGATCATAGAGACAAAGACGGTGGCATTGGGAACTGAGCATTAAAAATGAACAACTACGTGATCTTAATATGAAAAGGAATGTTAAGCCTTACTGTTCGTCTCTTGATTTAAGAAAAAAGAATTGTGTATTAGTGTTTTGTGGTCGGTGTTAAGCTGTTTAGCTGAGATAATTGGTATTCAGGTGGCACAGACACTGAACAACTCTACATACTAAAGTGCTTGTATACTTTATTCTATCGAAATTACCTCACTTATTCATTAAAACAGTATTTGGATCCTGTAAAATGAACAGTCTTGGTTGTTATAGAAATCGACGGTTAAAATGTCCTGGTTGTTATAGAAATCGACTGTTAAAATGTCTTGGTTGTTATAGAAACTGACAGTTAAAATGTGTTTGTTGTTATAGAAACTGACAGTTAAAATGTGTTGGTTGTTATAGAAACTGACAGTTAAAATGTGTTGGTTGTTATAGAAACTGACAGTTAAAATGTGTTGGTTGTTATAGAAACTGACAGTTAAAATGTGCTGGTTGTTATAGAAATTGACAGTTAAAATGTGTTGGTTGTTATAGAAACTGACAGTTAATATGTGTTGGTTGTTATAGAAACTGACAGTTAAAATGTGTTGGTTGTTATAGAAACTGACAGTTAAAATGTGTTGGTTGTTATAGAAACTGACAGTTAAAATGTGTTGGTTGTTATAGAAACTGACAGTTAAAATGTGCTGGTTGTTATAGAAATTGACAGTTAAAATGTGCTGGTTGTTATAGAAATTGACAGTTAAAATGTGTTGGTTGTTATAGAAACTGACAGTTAAAATGTGTTGGTTGCTATAGAAACTATCAGTTAAAATGTGTTGGTTGTTATAGAAACTGACAGTTAAAATGTGTTGGTTGTTATAGAAACTGAAAGTTAAAATGTGTTGGTTGTTATAGAAACTGACAGTTAAAATGTGTTGGTTGTTATAGAAACTGACAGTTAAAATGTGTTGGTTGTTGTTTTATTTGATTTGGATTTATTGCATTTTACTCACAGGTTGGTCATTATGTTTTTATTTCGGAGATATTATTCACTCGGTGTAACCCTGAAATATTGTCCTTTCTACATTATTCCAGCCGAACCAGCTGCTATCCTAGTAAAATTATTCATGAAAGGGTTCGACGAAGGATCAGCTGGTAGACAGGATCCTCAAGAACCTACCAAGTTTGAAAGACAGGACCATGTCTGTGTGTATTGGGTCTAATTCTCACCCATCTAAAATAAAGAGATTATTATTATTATTATTATTGTTATTGTTATCCATGTAAAATTATTCTTGAATGGAATGATTCGCCATTTGTGGGGGTTGATTTGAGTCTTGAATATGTAAATAATCTTCAGAAATACTAAAACTGCTTGACCACGCACTATTTCTTCAGAAATACCTAAAATTAGGCAGTGTTTCAAGAAAAGAAGAGCCATATATAGAAAAGGATAATTACATGTATAGAGAAATAGAAAGTAAAGTAGGCATATTTCTATATTTAAAGGGATTATGCGATTTTTAGTGCAGATCTAGTAGTTCTGAAGACTATGTGCAGATATTCAAAAACCAAGTCAACACCGGAAAATGGCAAAAGAAAGCCTTTTGATTGGATAAAATTTGATAAATTTGTAAATAAATATTAAACTTATTCTCTATTATATTAAGATAAAAGAAACATCAGTTTAAATCCCTTTTTTCTGTAAATTGTTTATTTTGAAAAACATCCCGGACGATATGAAGCTCTTTGAAATTTTGTATTTTCAGAATGTCTCAACTATTCCTATGTTATGGTTTTTATGGAAAACGAAGAAAATGATAATCAAAGCAAGGTGGGAAGTATCAACCTGTTTATTGGAACAGCCCAAAACACAGTCTGTACAGGATACGTGTACACCCCGTTACTCCATGGCAACAAGACAGACTTCAAAATCTCCGGTCCCAGTGGCAGCCATTTTGATTATGATTCGTCATTAAAACTTAAAGATACTGGACTTCAATTAAATACTTTCGTGGTCGAATCGACGCAGCCTTTGACTGTCATCGGACTTAACAAAGAAAAACCTTCCTCCGATTCGTTTCTGGCCTTTTCAACTCCGAATCTTGGCACAGAATATTTTGCTGTATCTTTTGCTTCGAAGTCTGGGGATTGTTTTACAGCTTGTCAATTTGCCATGGTGGCTATCGAGAATGATACAAACATTAAGATACATATTCCATCATATCCAAACATATCACAGTCAGTGACTATCGAAGCTAAAACGTACAAAAACGGACAAACAATCGAACTGAGCCTTGAAAAGTATCAGGCTTATCAAATACAATCCGTGCACGATTTAACCGGAACGCAAGTGATCGGAGACAAACCTTTTGCAATGTTTAGTGGTAACGTGAAGACAAGTTTAGGAAAGAACTCCAGGGATCATTTAGCAGAGCAACTTATTCCAGTAAAGTCATTGGGACGTTCGTTTACGGTGGTGCCGACCCCGGATCAAAACGTAACAACAGACCTTCTGTTCCGGGTTGTGGCCACTATGGAAGGAACGGTCTTCAAAATCAACGAGGAAACAGAACATAAACTAGACAAGCCCGGGGAGTGGGTGGAAATCAGTGAACCGCAGGATGAATATTTTACGGTCAAGAGCAATAACCCCGTCATGGTCATGGACTTCCTGTCCCTGAGTACCAAACTGGGAAATACTGACCCCTGCCTGGTGGTGATCGTACCCACAGAGCAATGGCAATCTCGATATTTCTACTTCGCTCTGAAAATTTATAATAATTACTTCATCGTAGTCATTGAAGACTCTGCCAAGGGTGGGTTACTCTTGAATGGACAATCTGTAACCAATGTGGTTTGGAAACAAGTGAAGGCTTCGTCTCTAGTCGGGGGTTATTTTGAAGTTACCGAGTCCATAAACCTCCTGACCACCCAGTTTGATAATGTAACGTTTGGAGCGTATGTTTATGGTCGTGTTGGGGTCGAGACACACTGTACGGTAGCTGGTGTGGATCTAGACCCGGTAAGTAAACAGTTATATATCAAAGCTTTAGTGAAACCCAACAATTACTGTCTAAATACAACTTGTTTTTAATTGACCAACTAATTATGTATGTAATATACTAATAATATTCTTCATTAAAAATTCCACGAGGATTATACTCAGGACTTCAAAACACACGTATATTGGGTTCTCGTCCATAACATCGTCGTCATTACAAGCCTCGTCTAGTTTTTCAGTGTAATTGGGTTCTTGAAAACAATATTAAGTTTATAAAAAATGATTTTCTTTTCTTTATTTTTAGGCATCTGTTAATAATAATAAAATAAGAAAAATAAAAATTGAAAACCAATCTGGTTAATAAGATATAATTAAAATGTCCTATGATTGATTGATTAGTTGATTTCAGATGTTATCGATGACCTTTATTAGATTGTCTGATATTATTATTACATACTGTAACACGTGACCGTAATACCTAACCCCTGGTGATCAGCCTGCGTTTACTCAGAGAGTACTAAAGGTAGCATACAAGTTTACAGACTTTCTGTCGATGCCTCTGATTGGCTGTACTCGCTAGCGAACAATACAATCAGATTGCTACATTTACAAAAGTCAAAATACAAGAAACGTAGTTATTGCAGTCAAGGTATAAGATGAAATTTGTAATAACTTGACATTGTGAAGATGAGTAAAGGTATAAGATGAAGATAGTAATAACTTGACATTGTGAAGATGAGTAAAGGTATAAGATGAAGTGTATAATAACTTGACATTGTGAAGATGAGTAAAGGTATAAGATGAAGTTTGTAATAGTTTGACATTGTGAAGATGAGTAAAGGTATAAGATGAAGTGTATAATAACTTGACATTGTGAAGATGAGTAAAGGTATAAGATGAAGTTTGTTATAACTTGACATTGTGAAGATGAGTAAAGGTATAAGATGAAGTGTGTAATGACTTGACATTGTGAAGATGAGTAAAGGTATAAGATGAAGTGTGTAATAGTTTGACATTGTGAAGATGAGTAAAGGTATAAGATGTAGTTTGTAATAACTTGACATTGTGAAGATGAGTAAAGGTATAAGATGAAGTGTATAATAGTTTGACATTGTGAAGATGAGTAAAGGTATAAGATGAAGTGTATAATAGTTTGACATTGTAAAGATGAGTAAAGGTATAAGATGAAGTTTGTTATAACTTGACATTGTAAAGATGAGTAAAGGTATAAGATGAAGTTTGTTATAACTTGACATTGTGAAGATGAGTAAAGGTATAAGATGAAGTGTATAATAACTTGACATTGTGAAGATGGTATAAGATGAAGTTTGTAATGACTTGACATTGTGAAGATGAGTAAAGGTATAAGATGAAGTGTATAATAGTTTGACATTGTGAAGATGAGTAAAGGTATAAGATGAAGTTTGTAATAGTTTGACATTGTGAAGATGAGTAAAGGTATAAGATGAAGTGTGTTATAACTTGACATTGTGAAGATGAGTAAAGGTATAAGATGAAGTGTGTAATAATTTGACATTGTGAAGATGAGTAAAGGTATAAGATGAAGTGTATAATAGTTTGACATTGTGAAGATGAGTAAAGGTATAAGATGAAGTGTGTAATAGTTTGACATTGTGAAGATGAGTAAAGGTATAAGATGAAGTTTGTAATGACTTGACATTGTGAAGGTGAATAAAGGTATAAGATGAAGTGTGTAATAGCTTGACATTGTGAAGATGAGTAAAGTTATAAGATGAGGTTTGTAATAGTTTGACATTGTGAAGATGAGTAAAGGTGTAAGATGAAGTTTGTAATAACTTGACATTGTGAAGATGAGTAAAGGTATAAGATGAAGTTTGTAATAACTTGACATTGTGAAGATGAGTAAAGGTGTAAGATGAAGTTTGTAATGACTTGACATTGTGAAGATGAGTAAAGGTATAAGATGAAGTGTGTAATGACTTGACATTGTGAAGATGAGTAAAGGTATAAGATGAAGTGTGTAATAACTTGACATTGTGAAGATGGTATAAGATGAAGTTTGTAATGACTTGACATTGTGAAGATGAGTAAAGGTATAAGATGAAGTTTGTAATGACTTGACATTGTGAAGGTGACAACATGAAGTTACTTGGTGGCATTCCATTATCCCAAAGGCCAATCTTTAATATCACACTTCAGTAGAGACCCAGTACGGATACAGGCTGCAATAGATCAGTTGTCTGAAGATCTCTACTTGTCAAACTTCAGTAGGGATACAGGCTGAAATAGATCAGTTGTCTGAAGATCTCTACTTGTCAAACTTCAGTAGGGACGCAGGCTGAAATAGATCAGTTGTCTGAAGATCTCTACTTGTCAAACTTCAGTAGAGATACAGGCTGCAATAGATCAATTGTCTGAAGATCTCTACTTGTCAAATTTCAGTAGGTTTCGTTTCGTATGATATTCTTTTGTTTCTGAATTAAGTTAATTAAGGGTGTTTTATTTTTTAGAAAAAGGTGGAGAAAGCCCCAGAAAGTTCTACAGTTTCAAGCATGTCTAAGCAAGAAGATTCCAGCGTCTTTGAAAAAAGTTCTGCTGCAACAGAAAATACAGTGAGCTCAATGGAATTAGAGCCGACGACTAACTTGTGGTCTAGTTCCTATGAGGGAGACACAACAGAGCCTAGCTCGATTCTCTCAGACTCGACAACTGTCATGGATTTCATTTCTGTTCCTGAGGATTCCCTTATAACTAGCTGGTCCAGTTTTAGTGGCTTTACCGTGGAATCTAGTGTGAACTTCGAAACGAGTTTTTCTTATACCAGTGAAATATTAAGCTCTTTCGTCGAATACAGCTCGACCGGTTCCTCTGTGGATGTGGCGACTACTATAATATATGCATCAGAAGTGATGGAGACGCCCAAACACCCACCCGGGAGTGACGACAGTAGGTCAATGAACGTGTCTTCTCATCCTAAACGTTTATGTCGATGTGGATGCTCTAAAGTGAAATTAAACTCAACTGAAACTGATCAAATTATCTCGAGTATTCAGGAGAAATTATTCGTGGACAAGCAGAAAGTATCGAAAAGCGTCCGGAAAAAGATCAGTGCGCGAGACTCTCGATACAGTTCAACTGGAATAGGAACGATTGGTGTTGTGTTTATTCTGATGTTATTGGGTGCAATTATACTATTAGACTTACCCAAGATCTACCGCGACTTTAAAGTGATTCGTAACGACGAAGAATGGTGAAATATTTCACAACTTTGGTCTTATTGTTTAACACTGAAACTGAATATTTAATGTGGCTCTTACTTGTCCTATATTAGTATTGGGTAAATAAACCGAGTTAACGTTGAACGTCACGCTTATCTGCCCTATTGTAGTATTGGAATGTCTCAGCATTGCACCCTCCTCTCCTCCCCAGTTCAAATTATTTTATTACTGAGTTCTTAAGTGCCGTGAACCCCCTTGACAATACTTTGGTCTCTACTCGACACCTCCTCTTATTGATTTATAGAAATGCCAATGTTTAAGACAATAACCATTAAATCCATGGAGCTTTTTGTGTAAACTGATGATGACAATCTAAAAACGTGTTTTTGTTTAATTAATTCATAATTTGTTAATTGATTGCTTATTTCAATTGATAAAAAAATGTCAGACTATCACTAACTACTGCTCTGGTATAATTAAAGTTTGTAAATGAATCGTGCGCTAGCGAATACAGCCAATCAGAGGCCTCGACTGAAAGTCCGTAAACACGAAACCATAATTATTACACCTTTTTTGTCGACAGCTCTTGTTGGCTGTATTTACTAGCGTACAATCCAATCAAAAGGTTGCATTCCATGATACAAGAAGGGTGGATATAAGATATAAATACGAAGTTCGTAATAGTTTGACATTGTGATGATGAAGGACAATGTTATACCAATAAGATCGCTGTAAAAGCTGCAATGAAAATAGTAAGTGATCGTTACAACTTTCAAGGAAATATAAAATATAAAATTAAGCAAAAATTGTTAATATCAGACTTTGGGAGAATTGACATGCTGTTTAATAATTAAAGGTGTGAATAGAAATAATAAATTTACTGAAATAAACCAATTTAAACTTACACCGTGGTGAATATTACATAACTGATGAAGAAAAGAATATTCTAGGCTTCTGAGTACATGTTTAGAGAAAGTGAAAATAGGAAGGGGAATAATCCATTGGACTAAATCAAAAAGGTGGACTTACACCATTAACATAAATTTGACCTATACAAAAATAGAACTATGTTACACATGTCGTTACGATGGGAACAAGTCATGTTAAAGATTATCTGGAAATCGACGAACTGTCAGGAAATTTCACTGTCAAAATAAATGCAAGATATATGACGTTATTCGATGGCCCATTGACATGCAGAAAATAAGGAGTTAAAATTCTATTGCATTTTGTTTACTTTCAAATCTGACACCAACAACTAACGTAACCTCTTGCGAAGTGAAAATTCGATGCCATGTTCACTCACTATTTAACATACAAAAATATAATATACCATACATTATTTTATTAACGACAAGAAAGTGGTTTTTTCTGATTAGATATAAACAAAGATTCAAAACGTCCTAATTAACAGTTTCATAACGCTCAATAACATACATTCACCATCACAGAAACACTTTCCAAATTTACTGAATGGGCTACATTTTTGTTTTGCCGATATGTTGTTTGAATTTCGGGTTTCGTTTTGTGGTTCGGATCGTTAGTATTTGGAATATATATTTCGATGACAGCATCACTTAAAACAAATCGATAAACCAAATTTTAACTCGTGATATTTTTCCTTTTAATTTTGTTTTAATGCGTGTTTAATTCTATGATTATCTGAATAATTTCCTGTTTGATCAATAACCGAGTCTAAGTCAATATGATATATAAAAAATATTACTAGTTCTAATGTTCTAATGTTCAGCTTTCAAGAATTTTTCTTGCCCACAAAAAACAGGTTTGTATAAAGCTCTGAACTGTGTTATACTCAAAACCTTCAATTCTGAGACGTGAATATCATAGAATCATTCTGTAAAAAATAAACGGACGTTTAAATTTATCAAAAAATTGAAGCCATGATTTAATTGATGAATTTATACTGAATGTGCCAAGAGGGATGGCCGAATTTGCATGGGTGAGCAAAAACTGATAGAGACTGATTTAATCTTCAATTGGGCATTTGTTCTATATTTGTATGTTAGTTACTGGCCTGACTGGATAATAGATGACACAATCTTAAAGTAATTAAGACACAGCACAGCACAATAGTCCACTTTTCTATATGATAAGAGTCACATTGTTCATTCTTATAAAATACAAACCTGTTATCAGCTGTAACTTAATATCTTATAGACTGTTTTATCTTTCTTTCAGTATAAACTCATCAATTAGAAAACATGGCTACAATATTGATGTAATATAAGCAATATAGCCCATAATTAATATTTAATATAATTAGCGCTGTAATTGTACATCAAGTTGATCCATTGGTTCTATTTTACCCCTCAGCTAGCAGAAGAATGATGCGAACGTGAAAATTACAGCGAACATCACAACTATCAGCCTGGTTAATAAAACTTCAAAACTATCAGAGCAAAACCATCAAAATAACCCTTCAAACGAATCAATTTGCAGTATTTTTACTTGTCATTTCGTTGAACAAAGGATCACTTGACTTCAATTGTTTTTCTCACGCAAAACTCGAGATGTTATGAAGACAGCTTGTGATGTCGAGATGTTATGATAGGGTTTGGTGACCTACGCCTTGAGCTTTTATCAACTCATACAAACCCAAAAATAGAAAACTACGTATGGTTCTTACATGAAAATAACACAAACGAACATAGTTTACAGCCATTTTGAATCTCTTCCTTGAATGACAGGTTTTCTGTCCCGTACCAGCAGACAACTTTCAAAATAGCTTTCAGAAACTGGAATAAACAGTGTCCCTGATACACAAACAAAGACTAGAAAATCAGAATAGAAGCTTATAGAGTTCATATATTCACTTAATACAGGTAAATCCTATCAATATAAAACAGTAGAGAATTCAATCTGTTGAAGGATAAAGCTGTAAAATAGTCAACTAGTCACGTATTGTAAGATTCTAATAGATTATTGCCGTAATTATTTTACTAGAGTAGTCGAGTATATTCTTAATCTTATTAGTTGTTAATGTACCAGGATGTTACTATCTGGTTTACACCATAGTTCTCTAAACCCCAGTAACCCTGTTATAAACACTGGTAACCCTGTTATAAACACTGGTAACCCTGCTATAAACACTGGTAACCCAGTTATAAACACTGGTTACCCTGTTATAAATACTAGTAACCCTGTTATAAGCACTAGTAACCCTGTTATAAACACTGGTAACCCTGTTATAAACACTGGTAACCCTGTTATAGACACTGGTAACCCTGTTATAAACACTGGTAACATTGTTATAAACACTAGTAACCCTGTTATAAACACTGGTAACCCTGTTATAAACACTAGTAACCCTGTTATAAACACTGGTAACCCTGTTATAAACACTAGTAACCCTGTTAAAAACACTGGTAACCCTGTTCTAAACACTAGTAACCCTGTTATAAACACTGGTAACCCTGTTATAAACACTGGTAACCCTGTTATAAACACTGGTAACCCTGTTATAAACACTAGTAACCCTGTTATAAATACTGGTTACCCTGTTATAAATACTGGTTACCCTGTTATAAACACTAGTAACCCTGTTATAAGCACTGGTAACCCTGTTATAAATACTGGTTACCCTGTTATAAACACTGGTAACCCTGTTATAAACACTGGTAACCCAGTTATAGACACTGGTAACCCTGTTATAAACACTGGTAACCCTGTTATAGACACTGGTAACCCTGTTATAAACACTGGTAACCCTGTTATAGACACTGGTAACCCTGTTATAGTCACTGGTAACCCTGTTATAAACATTTGTAACCCTGTTATAGACACTGGTAACCCTGTTATAGACACTGGTAACTCTAAATAATTTTCAACTAAAGGCCTGTCCCATAAGTAGTAATTTTAACTAATAAAAACGTGTCACGTAAAACCCATTTCTTGATAAATTAAAGAATTATGGGATAGCAAAACCCAAGAAGCTGTTGTGTAGCTCTACTATAGGTTACGATAAAAAGATAAGACATTGTAATATTTTTTATATTTAGAATATCCCAATATAAACATTGGTATAACCACAGTTCACGTGTGACATTACCGACTTGATAGTCTTTTTAATGTACAATTTTTATTTCATTTATTTATTAACGTATAAAATTCATGATATTATATAACAATTTACAAAAGTATAAAATACTGTAGTCAGCCAGCCAAACAATACTTACGAGACATTACGATTATTAACAGTAAAGAGCAAAAAAAAAAATGATTCAGTTTTTAAAGTATATAATAAACAGATAGAAAACATCTCATAGGATATAAGAATTAAATCTTAAAACGACTTTCTTAAATAGTATTTAAACAATACCATTTAGTTTACCCCTTATTGTAACCTGTGTTTGATCCTGGCTGTTATAATAACACATACAGTCTCCATACTGTAACACCTTCAGTCTCCATACTATAAAACCTACAGTCTATATACTATAACACCTACAGTCTCTATACTATAACACCTACAGTCTCTATACTATAACACCTACAGTCTCCATACTATAACACCTACAGTCTCTATACTATAACACCTACAGTCTCTATACTATAACACCTACAGTCTCTATACTATAACACCTACAGTCTCTATACTATAACACCTACAGTCTCTATACTATAACACCTACAGTCTCTATACTATAACAACTACAGTCTCTATACTATAACACCTACAGTCTCTATACTATAACACCTACAGTCTCTATACTATAACACCTACAGTCTCTATATTATAACACCTACAGTCTCTATACTATAACACCTACAGTCTTTATACTATAACACCTACAGTCTCTATACTATAACACCTACAGTCTCTATATTATAACACCTACAGTCTCTATACTATAACACCTACAGTCTCTATACTATAACACCTACAGTCTCCATACTATAACACCTACAGTCTCCATACTATAACACCTACAGTCTCCATACTATAACACATACAGTCTCTATACTATAACACCTACAGTCTCTATACTATAACACCTACAGTCTCTATACTATAACACCTACAGTCTCTATACTATAACACCTACAGTCTCCATACTATAACACCTACAGTCTCTATACTATAACACCTACAGTCTCCATACTATAACACCTACAGTCTCTATACTATAACACCTACAGTCTGTATACTATAACACCTACAGTCTCTATATTATAACACCTACAGTCTCCATACTATACCACCTACAGTCTCTATTCTATAACACCTACAGTCTCTATACTATAACACCTACAGTCTCTATACTATAACACCTACAGTCTCTATTCTATAACACCT